CAGTGGCCATACAGCTTTGCGTGAAAACGCACCCCTCTGGCACCTCTTTGACTCAGCGCGCGCGCACGCGCTGTGTGCCACTTCACCGAGGCTTTCATCGTTGTCGACCTGAAGGGACATTATCCCCATCTGCTGTGGCCTCAGCCATCAGCTTGCGCTCAGCTTGCGCTCAGCTTGGTGACTTCTAAATGGTAGGGAGGCCATGCAATGGTAGTTATGGTAGTTCTAGGAATGAATGTTTTCTTTCTTTTGGATCGTTAAACCATGTTAAACATGTGTTCTTTCTGAGCATAACATGGGAGTGCATGAGCCATGTCATTCAAGCAGCTTCATGCGGTGCCAAGCACTCTTGTGAGTCATGCACATGAAATCATCAATATGATTCCAAGAGATCCCATATACGAATGATCCATGTCTATAGGGTAAAGACTAGTACTAAGTCATTGCTATCCTAACCCTTGCTCTGCGGCTACTGAATGTTTTTGGTTCCGAATTTTGCCCACCCCCGCAAGTAAACCAATGGTTCACCCACCCCCAGCTCAATCCACATGAGAAGTAGTCGAACACCTGCCCATTGCTTTTCGTTTCCGTGCTTCAAGCTGCTGGCTCGCCCAACATCGCAGCATCCTACCTAAGTCGCTCGCTCAAACATCCGAGGAGAGGTTGGAAGTCTTGGAAAAGACCGGTGGTTCCTCTTTCCATGGTGGCTTCAGCGTCTACACTCCGCCACACCGGCATGGATGTTGCCTCGTGTGGATCGCGTGTGTTCAACTCCACCAAAAAGCGACCGGTCTGCGCTAGGTGTGTACCAGTGCCAAAGAGCTTGGAGGCGATGGGAAAGCGGACAACAAGTCCGTCTGAAATGGGGAAAACATTGAAACATACCATCCCTATATATAGCAGGTATTGAAACCTGGTAGGACACAAACTAGCACAAACTTGACAAAAGTGATGGCTGAAAGGTGCTTTGTCCACTTCTCGCGGGAACCCGGGTTCCCGTTGGCCCACGAAGGGAGAGCTCTAAGCACCAAAGACCCTGGAAACTTTCATTGCAAACGGGATCAAACAGGTAGAAGCTGTTGAACATACAGTGAATTAAACACAAATGACAAAATCCTGTGGTTTACCACTATCAATTGACTGTCCTTATTTCTGAGTTGTTTCGCTCTTGGACAAGCCTGCTCTGGCTTCTCGGGCCTAGAGTGCCTACAGTGCCAACGCAAGTCGGAATGCTTTGGGAAGCGGTTTTTTACCTGCTTTTGACCTTTCCCGGTTCCTGGACCACTCCGATCACAAAGACCTGTGGGAAGAACATCGAGCCCACCGGATCCACGTGGCCCAGACCTTTGCCATGGAGCCTGAGGGAAATGGACGCGACCATTTGCTGCCCGTGCTTTGGCATGCGAACGTATGGGGCAACACATGTGTTGCTAGGAGCAGGTGGAGTTGAGAAGACTGCAACTGATCCTCTAGAAAGGAACGTTTCGAAACCTATAGTCTGTTCATGTCTCTACTAGAGAGAGGTCAATTCCCTATTGAGAAAGCAGTCATGTTAAAGTCAGGGAATGGGCACATGTACATGATTGCTGGAGGACTCCGTAAACCAACATCGACATGTTCAGATCACGAAAATACATGAAAGTACACTGTTAGTGAGCTTTGAGAGTCGCACAGTCCTGAGAAAAGGCAAACCAACATCCAGTGAATTGCCGCAATGGCATGCAAAGAAGCCAACCTGCTAGCGATGGCCTCCACCCCAAGTAGCGATGGCCTCCAACATGCAAACAAGCCTCTCAAGTGTAAGTCACTCAACCACAAAGGGGGTCTTACAGAGAACCGCTGTGTGTAAGACCCCCTTCTCAACCCAGCGATGACCCCAAGCCTCCGCCACGACGGATGGGGTCTGTTGGTGGCGTGGAAAGTAGACGATGTAGTACGTTCTACGTTGTCCACTGCCTATACATTCAGCGGTGGTTTGGACAGATGAGCCGACGTCGCGCGTTCATCGTGATACGTAATTCTTATCAAACATCTCTTGAAGACCCCTTTTTTGTTATTGTTTAAAGTATACAGCAACTGTTCTCGATGCAGAAGAAGGGGTGGATTGTGGCCGAAAGATGAGTGGGTCCAACCTGCTGCTCACTATACGTGTGGATGGGTTTAAATGCTTGCAACGTGGTCAGACAGTCAGTTGAAGCAATTGAAGCCTTCGAAGCCATTGATTGAAGTTGTCAAAGCGACAAGCCCGATTGACACTCTCATTGACTGATTCTTGTTTGACGCATGTGTCGTGGGGTATTGACAACAACTCAATTATGCTTGCCTCTTGCAGTGTTCTCCATTGACCCTTGATAGCTGAAGAAGCAAAACGTGTGCCTGTTGAGGACCGGTCGAAAAAGACATTCCTCCCTGGACATGTTCTTCCGACCAGCCTCGTCTTCTCTCGCTCTTCCCCTCCGACTGGGGGCGCTCTCCACGTCTCCAGGCCACGATCCCTGACTACGAGACTCTGCAGTGGGGCTCACCCAGACCGACCGCGGACGATGACCGGTCTGACCGACCGACCGGAGAAGCGTTCCTCGCCGAGGGGCCTGGTAGAGTGAACTGGATGAAGCTCCACAGATTCTTTTCACTTTTGGGACTGTGTAGAGTGTAGAAGACATCCAAAAAGGGTCTTTGCTTAAAAGAAGCTGGGAACAACAGTTCGTGTTGACTTCACGCGCAGATGATATTGCCATCGTTCCCCCAACACATTTTGCGATCACGTGTTCATGATTGTTCTTCTTTTTGTTACTAGTAGTACGGCCAGGAGCCCCTAGTAGCGTCCTTGCTCCTAGTAGCGATGCCAGGAGCCCCTAGTAGCTTCTTGTTACTGTAATAAACTAACTTACACCAGGAGTCACAAAGGGGTTGTGTTTGGTCCCCAAGTGAGTGGATAATGGGCACACCTAACCTCCATTAAGCACCCCTTTGTGACTGCTGGTATATATAAATAGTAGTTAAATGCTCTATTGTGTCCACTGGGTTCTCCCAGCCGAAAGCAGGCGCCAGGGAGACCAGCTGTGCTGACCTGGGCGATTTTTGTTCAAAGGATACCGGATCCCTTGGGATGGATGGGAAATTCTGGACCTGTCATGAAAAAGCTCCTAGTAGTAAGTAGCATTCTTGTTACTAGTAGGGGCAGGAGCCCCGTTCGTAGCTACCAGAACAGGGGATTCACGGTGAAACCTCCGACAAATCCAGAACTTCGATTCCACGTTGGATCGACTGAGGCGATAGAATGTCGGAACAGATTTGGTAAAACACTAAATGTTCAACATACATTTGACAAGACATATATTTATATTATATAGTTAGTTGCATAGAACAGTATCTATCTATCTATATATTATACATTATATGTTTTTACTGACTAGTTATATACATTCTATATTGATATATGTTTATACTTTAATTAATTAAAGTCTATTTGGCTCGACATGTTTGTATAAATATGTGTTTGATTGAACCATGTTGTTTAATTATGCACAGTATTTTTCTTTGCATGTGTACACAAAATCAAGATCTAATGTCAGTGCAATATATAAGACACGTTAAGCAATTATATATATATAGGTATCGTTGGAGGAATTATAGTATACGGCATATTTGTTTATTATGATAATTATAGTAAATTTGGAACTAGGTATCAAAACTGACTGCGGAATTGTATTTATTCATCTAATGTCTATACGCTTTGATTTTGATGCGAGAAGGATAGGGTTCTGCGTGAGGTACTTTTTTTGAGTATTATTCACAGAGTTGATGTAAAGACACATGATTTCAATATGATGATTTGTATGATCTATAGCAAGGAGAAGTAGGCCACTAGGGGCTACGTAAAAAGCCACTAAATGCTCCTGGCCTTCACGAGTCTTTGCGCCTCACCCCGTTCTCGGAGGTTTCTTTTCGCACTTGGCTTCCGAGCGCCCCAGGCGTAAAGCGAACACTTTCGTCTTTCGCATTCCTAAACACCGAACATTGTCCAACATGTCTTTTGGCTCAACGGACACGTCCGCTGCATGGGCGAGGATCAAACAATACCTCGGTCGATTTGCCGTGCACAGAGAGACCGAAGACAGAAGGTCTCGTGAAAGGTCCCAAGGTCAAAACCCGACGATAGCGATGGCCTCCAACGTACTAGCGTCCGATTGCTCCGTTCGTAGCGATGCCCTTTGTTCCGTTCGTAGCTTCTTGCTCCGTTCGTAGTAAGGCCAGGAGCCCCGAACGTAGCGTCCTTGCTCCCAATAGCGATGGCCTCCACCCTAGTGTCAATCCAATGGTTGAGACAAACCCAGTTGCTTCCGTATTTTCCAGCGGGGTTCTGATCTGCCAAGCCTGAAGTAGCGCCCTTCCCTTCCATCAAATCAACGTCCCCTTCGGTCTTCTCGATCAGAATTTGATCGCAGGCGCTAAGTAAGTGAACAAGGCCGGTTGTTTTTGATTTTCTTCAATGGAACATGGAAACAATGCCATTGTCCATTGGATTTGTTCTTTTTTGTCTCTCCATGGCCCGTCGGGCGAGATGCGATGCTCATGGCGCTGCCGGCTCTTGTGCATCGTGTCCGTGGGACTTCTGCTGTCGATTTCTGGGAAGGTGCTGGAAATGGTTCGTTCCTTAAGAGAGGAACGGGGCGAGGAAGACGGGTCAGTCAGCGACTTGTCCAGTGAGGCGGGTAGTAGATTTGCAAAAGAGAACGGGTCAAAAATTGGATACGATCTTCTTGATATTGAAGGTTTCCTTCCAAATCCTTGAGTAGGTAAGCATCCCTGCACATCTGAAACAGAGCCAAAAATCATAGGAAATCAACGTGGAATCTTCAGGGACAGCTGTGCAGATTGAGCAGCTGTTCTTTTCAAACATTTCCACTGGAGTTGCTGGACTGCTGAAGGCCACCGGATCTTCCTGCTGTTTCAAAGGCATTCGCTGTGACCAAGCTGATCCCTACAACATCTTCGTCATGCAGTCTGAACGTCCAGACGGGCGGTTGAAGCTGATGTATGCGCCCATCACCCAATCTTTGGTCTTAGGCGGGTAAACTTGTTGATTTTCACGCGCTAAATGGGTGTCCAAACGAGTTTTCACGTCGTGACATGGGTGAAAAAAGGCATCTATTCAGTATGCAAATGAACATCGACGCACGACTTTCTTTCGATCCACAGGTTTGCAGAGTAGAGAAGAAGAGTGTGGCTACAAGACCTTCAAAGTCTTGCCAGAAACCCGGCGTGACATCTTCCAATATCCCGTTCCGCCGAAGTCAGGCGATGTGATCATCTATGCAGCCCTGCTGGATGGTTTGTTTCTTTCGTCCCCCTGTAAGAAAACCCTCAAAGTGAAAGTTCGAGAAACTAAAACCACGTAAGAAAACACATCACACGTGGTTTTCCAACCAGGTCGGCACCTTGAACTCCTCCACGTTTATGGACCGCTGCCGCACGCAGATGGCTCCCAACCGCACCTATTGCATTTGGTATCAAGTGGAGCCGCGCGAATGGCCCAAGGCGAGTCCCACGGGCCGCTCCGGTGTGTGCGAGGTCTGGGAGTACACGCGCGGCAACGACCCGTCATTGGGCGTGCCGTTGGTGCGCTACGTGCCGCCGGGCTTCATGCCGACCGAGGCCACGGAGGAGCAAAACGATCGCCTGGTACAGTGGAGGGCGCGATCCTTAAATCCCAAGAGCTTGCAATGGTACTTCATTGGGCGCTTGGGGCCGTTGAGGCAAGTTTGCTGGGATCAATTGCAAGAGTTGAAGTATTTCAAGAAGCACGAGCTGAAAAAGATCCCGCAAGGTGGAGCGAAAGGCTATCCGAAGGTGTACACGGTGGAGGATTGGAGGAAGCTCGGGCGTCTCAAGAATGCGGCGTTTCTGAACTTTCACCAAGCTTGCAATCGTCCTCAGCCGTTGGAGACCAAACCCCTGGAGACGGTGCGGGTGGCACAGCTTTTGAGTCTGGGCTTCTTGGTGGTTTCAGAGGAGGTCAACAGCATAGACAAAGCACTCTATGAACAGATCGTCCTGGTCGAGAAGGACCTCTTTCATGAGAAGAACTGGAGCCCTTTCTTTTGGCGCCTTCTACAGAACAAAACGGCTCTGGTGGAGACTCGAGCGAGCACAGCTGCATGTGGGCTGGGGGGTCTGTTTGGTGGCAAGACAAGCCGGGGGACGGTTACTGTTTTTCTGCGTGTACACCCCGAAGAGATAGAACTAGATAGAACTGGATAGAACAAAGCTTTATGACTCAGTTTGTTACAAACATCTTTTCCATGGCATATATTGATTCCCCCGATCTTCAACTTGCAAGGATTGGCAGCTGAGGGCCTATGACCTCTTCAAGCAGCGCTTTCGTCCCAGCAAGCTTTTGCATGATGCCCAGGTCTGGGATGGTGGTGTGCCGAGCCGAAGCACCTGCGACGCCTAGCACCGCCGAAGGACGTGAGACGGCGCAACGAAAGAGTCCACCAAGGGGTCCGGAAGGCAACGGTCGGAGCCTTCGGAAGCAGAGGTCATCTTGCGGAAAAAAATGATGGGCGATCGGAGCCGAAACCACCTGAACTCTCTTTGGTCTCTTGATTTTGGTTGTCCAAGAGTTCCAAGGGGCAAACAATGGTAAACGGTGCAGATTTGAGTCTTTCCTCTTTAGCATTGCAGCCTCAAGGCGAGCGGGGCTATGACTCAACTCGCAGGGTTTGAACATGTGAACATGCCGTCGACCTCCCCCAAAGCAAAATCGCCGGGGACAGGCTGATGTGTTCATTCAGGATCCGAATCGACGTAGGAACAGCTGGCAACTTCCGCGGCGGTCACGCAGCGGCCAGCACGGTCGGTCGGCAGACGGGAACGACGGGAGGGCGCCATGGGGCAGACGAATTGCTGCTGTGAGAAGACTGAGGATGACAGGCGACGAGCCCGGTGCAGAACCGCCAACCTGGGTGATCTCTTTTCCATATGACCTGGACCCGACTTCAAGTACCAAAGAAGATGGGACAGTACCCTATAAAATACAGGTGCTTAGTACTCATTTAGTAGCGAAGTACTTTGAGACTCTATATTGATACTTCTATTGGTATCTAACGATTGATCGTCAATATGGCAAACAAACAAATATAGATTTCACTGAGAGAGCAAACTTAGACCAGCCTTTAGCATGGATCGGAGTTTTGTCGACTTCCTTTTGTCTTCGATTGTACGGTGTCACATCCGTAGAGCAAGAGGTGTTTAATGTCATACAAATTTTGCCTTTTGGCTGATTTTATTGATGAAAAGGCAGACATTCTGTACAGTAGGCATATTATAATATCATATATTATGTATTATGTATATGATATGAATATGTTTCAGTTGCTAAGCTCATAGTTGAAGGTGCAGGTGAACTGGAAGAACATTCGCCTTGGAACTACCAAAAGGAAACCCTACAGCCATGTCATCCAAACACCAAAAGGACCCCCCAAAAGCCCATGTCGTCCCTGGCTGTTGTCGAAGCGTTCTTGTTGAACGCACGTTCCTAGTAGTAAGGCCAGGAGCCCCTAGTAGCTTCTTGTTCCTAGGCCAGGAGCCTCTAGTAGCTTCTTGTTCCTAGTGGTAAGGCCAGGAGCCCCTAGTAGCTTCTTGTTCCTAGTAGTAAGGCCAGGGGCCCCTAGCAGCTGTTTGTTCCTAGTAGTAAGGCCAGGAGCCCCTAGTAGCTTGTTGTTCCTAGTCTTAAGGCCAGGAGGTGCTAGTAGCTTCTTGTTCCTAGTAGTAAGGACAGGAGCCCCTAGTAGCTTCTTGTTCCTAGTAGTAGGGGCAGGAGCCTCTAGTAGCTTTTTGTTCCTAGTAGTAAGGCAAGGAGCCCCTAGTAGCTTCTTGTTCCTAGTAGTAAGGCCAGGGGCCCCTACGATCTTCTTGTTCCTAGTAGTAAGGCCAGGAGCCCCTAGTAGCTTCTTGTTCCTAGTAGTAAGGCCAGGAGCCCCTAGTAGCTTGTTGTTCCTAGTAGTAAGGCCAGGAGCCCCTAGTAGCTTCTTGTTCCTAGTAGCAAGGCCAGGAGCCCCTAGTAGCTTTTTGTTCCTAGTGGTATGGCCAAGAGCCCTAGTAGCTTCTTTTTCGAGCCCGTAGTAGTATATTTTTTCTTGGCCACAAGCCCCTGGTAGCTTCTTTTTCCTAGGGCTCAAGCCCCTGGTAGCTTCTTTCTCCTAGGCCAGGAGCTTCTAGTAGCTTCTTGTTCCTAGTAGTCAGGCCAGGAGCCCGTAGTAGCTTCTTGTTCCTAGTAGTAAGGCCAGCAGCCCCTAGTAGCTTCGAGCCCCTAGTAGCTTCTTGTTCCTAGTAATAAGGCCAGGGGCCCCTAGTAGCATCTTGTTCCTAGTAGTAAGGCCAGGGGCCCCTAGGAGCTTCTTGTTCCTAGTAGTGAGGCCAGGAGCCCCTAGTAGCTTCTTGTTCCTAGTAGTAAGGCCAGGAGCCCCT